GACATTTTTGGACTCAACTTGTTGTGCTGTGCTCACTTGAACAGGAAGGTCCTTCTTGTGGGCAAATTTTGTCATCAAACTTTGTCATCAAAGTCTGGCATTCTCTGGATTTATGGTGCTTTCAAGACAACTGGGAACTTTTAAAAAAAACAAGGTTGACTCATGATGTCAGTGATCTTCAAGTCGGAGCTCAAGAAAGAGGCAGAGTTCCCGACTTGGAATTCCGAGTTGGATGACCGTTCAAAACATATTTTCCCAGTCGGAGCTCGCTTTTTTCCCAGTTGTCTTGAACTCACTCTGTCTGTTGCATGTGAATGTTTATCCCTTTAAGCTTGGAAAAGAGACCCTTAAACCCAGACTTGGACCACACACACACTCCACTGAATAGCAGGCTAGTGATTGCTTTGCAATGCTTGCAGTTAGCCACTGATTCCTTCCAAACCACTCATTGTTGAATTTGCAATTTATCTATAATTTCTCTTCATATGACAAGGATTGAAAAGGATTTGTCAGTAGATTGTCGACTTGATTCATGATGATGACTGCTTGTCTAGCTTGCTAGCTAAGATTTTGAAAGTATGATGTTGACATGATCAGTCCAATCAAAGCTACAGTAGATATAACGTGATTTGACCTCATTTTATCTGTGGCCAATGACCTTGAGCATTCTTGGATGGGTACTTCTGATGTAACTCTATGGCAGCACCCAAGGGGCTTGAATTTTTGAGCTCTCCCCGTTGATTTTGCGGTGACGTAGTGTCCCCATGTGGGACAGAACACTGAGCCAATCACGGCGCAAACAGAGAACATTACTAACCCCTATGCTCCATATTTTCCGCTGGCTGCCCCATCACCACAGAAAGCACTGAGCTAGGCTGAAACACCTACATGTAGGCTATATTGTTCACAAACATTGGAGTAGCCTAAAACAAGCTTATAGTTTGGGTTCTGACGGGTTACGACAGTTGAACTAAATCGTGAAGCATTTATAAGTTATAATCTTCAAGAATCAATGGGTACATATCATTTAATTTATAAGTCAAAAAATTGATGCAGCAATTAAGGATACTAGCTTTAATCTCCCCATCCTGTGACATGCCCAAGGGAAACCCACATTTCAGAGGTCCCCGTCCGACCGTGTTGTTACATCGAATTCCAAAATTAGGCTATATTTGTGCCATTGGTGCGCAATTTTGTTAAATTGTATCATAGTTTTAAGAGCAGCATTGTACTTTGTCATCTGATTTCACTTCGTTCACTCCGTGAGAACCAAGCATGGGCAAGTAGATAAGAATTGAACCAGTGTTATGTCAACAAAGAGATAAAGAATGATTGTAAAACGTATTCTCTTTCTTGTCAAGTAGGTGCCTAAATTGGGCGGGGACCCCTTGTGCGATAGCAAATTCATCAAGGACCCCCTCATAGTCCGATCACAACTCGAGTGAGTAAAAAATAGCATACAAGGAGTCTAGTAAACCATGACTTGGGAAGGAACATTTAAAATATTGCAGTTTTCAAGCTAATTTCCTGCAATTCTACACCTTTTGTCATGAGGCAACTAGAACTGCTGTTTTAAAGCTTAAATTACAGTGCATTTATGTATTATTTTTTTTATACAAGTAGTATTGAGTTCAAAAATGTATAATTAGTGGAGTACTGTGGATACCAATATCCCTGTGAGCCTAGCATGCCCATGTTGCCCAGGGTTAAATTAAAGGCCCAGTGCAGTCAAAAACAGGATTTTCCTGTGTTTTTTATGTATGTTTCCACACTATGAGATTGGAATAATACTGTTAAATTGTGAAAATTATGATAATGCAGCCTGGTCTCATAGACTAGATGTAACATAGTAAATGAAAGTCCATGACACTCAAATTAGTATGATATGTTACGTTAGGCCTCCTGTAGCTCAGTTGGTAGAGCATGGCGCTTGCAATGCCAAGGTTATGGGTTCGATTCCCATGGGGGGACCAGTGAAAAATGTATGCACTCACTAACTGTAAGTCGCTCTGGATAAGAGCATCTGCTAAATGACTAAAAATGTTTGGTATGTTTACATAAGACATAAGGTTACTTAAGACAAAAAGAGGGTGCTTGGTTGGGGTGGGCGTATGAAGTGAATGTCTATAAACCCAAAGGTTGTGTGTTCAAACCTCATCATGGATAACTTAAGCAGTTTAGCTCATTCCCACCAGGGGCCAGTATGAAAATGTATGCACTCACTAACTGTAAGTCGCGTCTGCTAAATGACTAAAATGTAATTAGCAACTTTGCAACTACTAACTACTTAGCATGTAAGCTAACCTTAGCCACCTAGGTAACATTAGCGTTAGCCACAACAAATTGGAATTTGTAACATATCATACCTATTGTAAATTCGAAACATATCATACGAAATGGATGATGGCCATTAGGGGTGTGCCGACATGGTCATACTCTTATCCATATCCATAAATTAAAACCTTAAGTGTTTTAATATGCCTAAGGAGATGTTCGCAAAATACCTCCCTGCACATTCTCTCAGCAAAAAACCTGCAGATTAGGAGCAGCGCGCTGAGGGGTGTGTGGTGTGTTTGTATGTGTCTGTGTTTCCTCAATTTGCAGCGGGGAGCCAAGTTTGCTGTCACTCAGTCAGAATGCGCATCGTCGTTTTTCCCTACCCTTGTCCCGCTTGTTAGATATTATGCACATTGATAGCTTAATATCAAACGTCCTCGCCATGTGATTTATCATAGTAGCAGGCAGCAGCAATCTAAATGATTGGACTGAAAACATGCAAGGAAAAGTGATCAGGTGAAATTATGAAGCGAGTGGACGGAGAAATACATTTCACTCTCCAATCAGAGCAGCAGGATCAACGCACTTTCTCTTTACAGTGAGGCAAACTAGCCAGTTGAGTAATTTAGACCACTCAAAACCTTGCACATGACTGACTGACATGAGAAAGATGTGTGCTGGCACCGGAAAAGTACTATTTTTTTTAGATCATGGATAATTACAAAATATACTCGGTTCATAATCGTATCCAAAAAATTGCCCATATCCGTTACGATACTAGTTTTGTCTGACTACTCGGCACACCCCTAATACATACCATACCAAACGTAACATGAGTCCAGGTTGGATAATGACTTTTTAGTGTAAGAGCTGTTTGAAAAGACCAGATTTCAGCCTGTTTTGGTGGGATGGAGATTTTGGCCTGCCTGGTGACATCACCAGGTGGTGAATTAGTTAATAGACCATCAAGATAGTTCCAAACCTCTCTGCTATTAACAGCTCATTTTCATTTTCCCCTTCCTCACTCAGACCACTCCCAGACAGTTCTTGCAAAATTCTTGCTTGAGAAATTGCTCATTGCTAAGCATAATTTTTTGTTTCTTTCTGACCATTTTAATTTAAAACAATCATAGTAAGGTACTTAATTTTTTACTCAGAAATGATTTGATATTGAGATATTGGAACTTTAAAAACATAAATTGTAGATTCATATTAATAATATGCCATTTAGTAGACGCTTTTATCCAAAGCGATTTACAGTCATGTGTGCATACATTTTTACATATGGGTGGTCCCGGGGATCGAGCCCACTACCCTGGCGTTACAAGCGCCGTGCTCTACCAATTGAGCTACAGAGGACCACATTATTATTATTAGGACCACCATATTATTACATTGTATTGTGTTACACCCTCTAAAATTATTCCACAGATCCCTTGTTTAATCTGTTATTAGTAATATTAATGAAAAAAATAAATGTAAAAACAATAAATAGTAGTTTTTTTTTTTTTTTTTTTCTGGCCGTGGACCCCCTGCAGTACCTTGTCCACGGACCCCATTTTGAGAACCCCTGTGCTAGGACACACAACTAGGCTACTCTATCGTATTAAAGTGGGTCTGCTCAGTGCTTACTAACCCAAACAAAGAGCCTGACAGACTGACATGCGACACGACTCCATGTGTCCTACTTGTGTAATGTGCTGTCAGCTGCATACAATACATTATTGCTAGGCCAGGACGAGATTCCTTAAAAACACGCCACTTCGATACAGCCACGACTTTTTCGTAGCAGGTTAGGAGAATTAGGTTAAGGTTATGAAAATGGTCAGGGTTAGCGAAAATGCTCTCCTAACCTGCTACAAAAAGTCACCTGTATCGAAGTGGCGTGTTTTTAGGAAGACCCTAGGCTATATTTGCTCAGATTAATTAAATCAATTTTCAGCGCATGTGAAGATCATGAACTCAACAGAGACAAACACACTTGACAAGTTAGGCCTACTCTGTTTCTCCCGAGCTAAAACAATGTCATGAGGAGTAGGCTAGTTTATACATATTCTAAATGGAGAGATGCATAAATGGGACACAAGCACGAAGTGAGGAGGACAAGGCAGTCAAACCAAGCGTGAGTGTGACCGCATTTGGCCACCATTTCAAACAGAATCGACACATTCGAGCTCGAAAAAGGGGGTTGGATAGGCTATTTTCCCGGAGGCCCCTGGCTGTCCAAAACTATGGAGTTACATAACGGTCATGCCTAGATGGATACAGTTTTAAAATTTTAACCTAATTCTCCTAACTTGCTACGTTAATTATCCAAATCTGCTGCGTAAATTCTCCTAAACACTACGAAAAGTAAATTTTGACAAAAGCTGTATCCCTTCTAGACAAAACCGTTACATAACATCAGAAAACAACGCCAGTTTGCGGGCAAGGCAAGCCCACTCGATGCTATCAACCAAGGGGCGCACACACCCCTCTATCGTCAACGCCCCCTCCACAATCCTCCTCCCCGATAGGTCCAGGCAGAGATAAAAAACAAAACAACGGGGGCTTTAAAAAGATCCACATTGTTCAGTCCATCAGTAACATCTGGTCATTAGACCGGTTTTAGTGTTACAGTCGCGGCTTTGCCGATGCACACTTTCTTCTTCTCCATCATCTCCCGAGAGGACAGAAATCAAAGTTCTTAATTTTTTATTGTAGCTTCAACCAAAAACACGAAAATGCCCAGCAAAAGGAAGAAGAACAAGCGCCGCATGAGAAGGGTGGTAAGTGCGCACACCAGGGTTCCTTCAGTTTCTCCATATTGTAGCTAATTATGATTAGGTTATTATACTTTTTTCAATAATCCGTGCTACACGTGTTCCCCTCCACTCCTGTAATTGAAGTGCATTGAACAGTTCATCCATTGGAATTCACCAAACATCAAACAATATATCACTGGATTAATGATCGGGACCATGATCGCGCAAACCTCTTTGTAGGCTAACAAAATAGTTTTTCACATTCTAAATTACTGGTCGTTTTTTTAAAGGTGAGTTGATGCATGCGAAGAAACCACTGCCAAGATGTCCTAATAATTTCCAATCCATCAGCCTGGTTTCATAGACCAGACATAACATAGTAAACAAATTAGTATGAAATGTTACATTTACATTTTACATTTGGTATGGTTACATAAGACTGAGGTTACTTATGGCAAAAATGAAAGGAGGGTGGTTCGTCGGGCGTATAACGCAAACATCTAGTCCCCTGTAGCTCAGTTGGAAGAGCATGGCGCTTGCAACACCAGGGTTGTGGGTTCATTTCCCACGGGGGGCCAGTATGAAAATGTATGCACTCACTAACTGTAAGTCGCTCTGGATAAGAGCGTCTGCTAAATGACTAAAATGTAAAATGTAAATCTAGCAACCCAAAGGTTACTTAGCATGTTGGCTAACTCCTAACCCTAATCCATAGCCTAGCTAACGTTAGCCATCTAGTAGTCACCTACCTAAGCCACAACAAATTGGAATTCGTAACATATCATACAAATTATAATTCGTAACATCATATGAAATGAATGATGGGCATCCACAAATTAATACCATACGTAACAAACTAATTTAAACCCCCCCCTGATATACTATGTTACGTCTACCCCTGAGTCCAGGTTGCACAATCCATATATCCCAATCCACCCAGCTACATGATGGGCACCATGTGTTGAATGTAGCTTGTCTGGCTAAATTTACATTACATTTTAGTAGATGCTCTTATCCAGAGCGACTTACAGTTAGTGAGTGCATACATTATTTTTTATACTGGCCCCCCGTGGGAATCGAACCCACAACCCTGGCGTTGCAAACGCCATGCTCTACCAACTGAGCTACATCCCTGCCGGCCATTCCCTCCCCTACCCTGGGCCAATTGCGCCACTCGGGAGCTACATGACCAGCACCCTGCATTGGATGTGGCTTGTCTAACTGTTTTATTTAGGATACTCCTGGCTCGGTTCCACTCCACGCACGGTGCGCATAGTTGATCTCGCTGTGTACTTCGCTCTGGATAAGAGCGTCTGCTAAATGACTAAAATGTAAATGTACTTGGCCAAGTAGGTTATCTATCATTTGTATTAATTTTTTTGTACTTTTTAACCCAATTTCGGGGATAATCCAATTGGTAGTTACAGTCCTTGTCCCATTGAAGGTCGAGAGCCATGCGTCCTCAGCCATGCTGCACTGACTGTAAGTTGCTCTGGATAAGAGCGTCTGCTAAATGACTAAAATGTCAATGTACTTGGCCAAGTAGGTTATCTATCATTTGTATTTAATTTTTTGTACTTTTTACCCCAATTTCGTGATATCCAATTGGTAGTTACAGTCTTGTCCCATTGAAGGTCGAGAGCCATGCGTCCTCAGCCATGCTGCACTGCTTCTTGACACACTGCTCGCTTAACCCGGAAGCCAGCCGCACCAATGTGTCGGAGGAAACACCGTACAGCTTGCGACCAACGCCAGCGTGCATGTGCCCGGCCGCCACAAGGAATCGCTAGAGCGCGATGGGACAAGGACATCCCAGCCGGCCAAACCCTCCCCTAACCCGGGCGACGCTGGGCCAATTGTGTGCCGCCTCATGGGTCTCCCAGTCGCGGCCGGCTGCGACACAGCCCGGGATCGAACCTGGATCTGTAGTGACGTATCTAGCACTGATCAGTGCCTTAGACCGCTGTGCCACTTGGGAGGCCTTATCTATAAATTGTTATAAAGAATCTGTGACACGGCCATGCTGGTTCTGAGATTTTGTTGTAAATTTGATTGAAGGTTTATCGCTAGCACACATCATAGGCACAAAATGCGCGCAACAACACAGTGGGGTGCACTCCGTGTTTGCGGCTACAATTGCTTGGCCAGTCATTTAGGCCTAAACTTTCACCTATGTAATGTTATCCAGAGCTCTGTATAGTTCTGCAGTAAGCCAGTAGGCCTAACATTGTACATGCACTACACTAGAGATTCCTTGCAAATACTTCTCAGTATGGTGAGAAGGAAGTTATCCTAAACACTCTTCCCCATAGTTTTCTGGCAAGACTCCACTCAAACCAAGGCTGTATTTGGTAATGAGTCGTAGGCATGCGCTACACCAGACTGCTTTCTTAGGGCCTGTGCAGTCTTTGAAACCTTTCACAGATGGCCAGATAAAAACGTATCCCAAATCAGTTACTGCTCAGTCTTGGCCTTATCACCTCTGCATGCTCAAGATATCTACAGAGGTGGTCCTCTGGTGGTCAGCTGGTAGAGCACGCGCTTGTAACGCCAAGGTAGTGGGTTCGATCCCCGGGACCACCCATACACAAAAATTTATGCACGCATGACTGTAAGTCGCTTTGGATAAAAGCGTCTGCTAAATGGCATATTATTATTATTATACAGAGGTGCATGGAAGGGAGATCTCTCTTGCTGATTAGTGACTTTCTTAACATGTGCTTTTTTTGTGCTCCCCTATCCCTTCAAAACAGTTTTTCCAGTGTCTTTCCAAAGGATGATGATGCCTAGTAAATGTCCTTAAGACTAATCCTGTTGATGACTGGCTCAAAAAAGCGGTTGTTTTGACAGACAGACCAAAGGCAGAGCTGTTTTTGTATGCACACTCACTGGGCTTATTCACTTGGTGGGCTGTGTAAGCTGTAAACTCTGCTGGCTGGCCGGTCGTCTCTTGCAGCTAACGAGGCGTAGGGTGTGATTATAACCTGATTATAATGCGATTAGTTTACTGTCTGCCATGCAGGGCCCCATCCGGAGCCCTGAGCCCTGCTGACTCGCAGGTTTCAGTCCCGCCTGACTTGACCTGTCAGAATCACTCGGATTCAGCTAATTTACTGCCATTATCTAACTAGTTTGGGCCTCCCATCCCCCCTGCTCCATTGATCGGCGCCATAGCCCAAAGGTTTAGTCCTCTGTCCTCTCTGGGAAAACATGTTGATCCTAGTTTGGCATCGAATAGAATAGCCCCCCCCCCCCCCCCCCCCCATCAACCCCAAACTAGATGAGGAATTCAATAACTAACAGCCCTCTGGCTGGATTACCTTCAGCAGCCTCTCCCCATATTTTTTTCTCTCCATCTCTCAATGTTTAATCAAAGCGGAGTGATTCAAGGTAAAGTTAATCTGACACCCTTTTCTCTCTCTCTGTCTTTCGCTCGCTTGCTCTGTGTGTTGAGCAGCAGGCCCAGAGGAGAGTCCTTGAGGAGCAGCATGCTGCTGGCACTGGCAAAGGGACCCCAGGAGTGGCTGCTGTGGCCGCCCCCCCTGTTAATGTCAAAGAAGTGGCAAAGTGTCCCAAGCTTGTCCCCATACAGACTCAAGTAGTAAGCGTCCCCGTTGTAGCGCTGCTGGCCCCAGTCAAAGTACCGGAGCCTAAACCTGTGGTGGCGGCGGTAGAGGCTGAAGTGGTGGCAGCAGAGGTTGAAGTTGAGGCACCAGTCGAAGCTCCAGTAGAGGCTGAAGTGGTGGCAGCAGAGGTTGAAGTTGAGGCACCAGTCGAAGCTCCAGTAGAGGCTGAAGTGGTGGCAGCAGAGGTTGAAGTTGAGGCACCAGTCGAAGCTCCAGTAGAGGCTGAAGAAGCCACATTGGAGGTCGAAGCCCCAATTGAAACCCCAGATGTGGTCGACGGCCCAGTCGAAGCCCCAGAAGAAGTCCCAGTTGTAGAAGTGGAAGTCCCAGCAGAAGCTCCAGTGGGGCCCCCTACAGAAGAAACTTCAGCAGTGCAGGAGGTTGAAGAAAGCGTCATTCCAAAGACGGAGCTAGTAATGGAGGTAAAGGCCCTCTCCCATTTTTTATTTGTTTGCGGACGGAGAGTATATGGGGTCAGGTGCAGTTTCTGGTGTATTGGGAAGGGACTGGGAGGTGGCAGTAAGAGAACAGTGTGTTCTATTTAAGAGGCTGTGCATGTACACAGAGAGTGGGCAGGGCCTCTGTTGCAGTCTCTATATATTATTGGGTACATTAACACGGTCTACAGTAAAGGATTATTTGTCTGTTTTTAAAACTGATTTCAGGAGATTGTGGTGAGAGTAATTGGATAAAATGAGATTGATGACGTTTCTCTAGAGCTGTACAGATGTAAGATCTTAATTTGAGCCAGTTTGCTACAGCAGGAAAATAATCCTGCAACAAGAGGAAATTTGAATTATTATGTGGATTATAATTAATGGAAATATTTGTAGGGGTTGATACATTTTTCATACTGGAAAAATAAGTTTGAAATTTCAAAGTGGAAATTACAAACTTCAGAAGTCTTTTTAAACCTCAAATGCACTACGTGTTTAAAATGTCCTGCATTGCAGGAAAGTTTCCTGCAACGGGGTGATCAAATTAAGATCCTACATCTGTATTAAGGTTTTGTGATGGATCAGGTTAGCTAACACTTTCCCCTACACATGATTTGGTGTTTATTGCAGGTCGCAAGTAGCTTTATCCTTTTGTGTGGAAGTTTCAATCCTATGAATGTTAAATGTTGGTAGTGTATCATCGTAATAATTTAGTTTATGCAGCTGTTTATGAGTCTTGTTCAGTGTCCTGTGTTGGAAATGTGTACGGTGCTTGTTGGCATTTGTTCAGCTGCTATAGTGTCTCTAAAGTGCCTCCCTCGCTGTAGCTAAGTTATGTACACATGGCATGTGTGTGCTCACATGTATGTGAGTGTGTGGAGAGCGGGATGAGGGGGTGGTTATACACGATGATGGGCTCTTGGTCAGCCGATAGAGTAAAATGCCTATTTTCCCCAGCCCTATGCTGCTGCACATACCATAGACATGCCAAATACGCCTTAGACCTATACGCACAAGCTTTCATTAAAGTACTTTAGGCGCATCCACACACATAGTGGATGTGTTATACACACTCAGTATCAGGATAGTTTTATTGAGTTGGTGAGATTGCAAATCCTTACACACTTAACATAGGAGCGCTGAGACACGTGCACACACACATCCATACACCGTGTTGGTAGAGAAAGAGTGGACAGTTGGTGGCTCTGGTCAGTCGGTTGTGGTGTCTTCACCATGGGCCTCATATTCAGCTGGCTGTGGGGGCCGAGAGGCCACCCCACTACTGGACGTCACCATGGAGACACAGGTGAGCCCCCCTCTCAGATGGGTGGTGTGGTCGGCTTATCCTGGAGTGAGGGGACAGGGCATCGGAGGCAGAACATTTTGTACCAGGCAGCATTCTTTCTTTGCTCCAATAGCTCCCTCCTCCTTTCCCACTCTTCCCTTCTTGTGTGTTTGTGTTTGCTTATGGGGCCCCTATAGAGGAGCACTTTCTGCCTGGCACGTGTTTTCTCTGAAGGAGGGGCCAGTGGATGCACATGAGTAGATCATGTCGTGTTGTAACTGGTTGATGCCGTAGGGGTGGGAGGAGACAGAATCTTAGGTGGAAGTGGAGTTTTGGGGAGGGGTACTGCCAATGGAGAGATGTTGAGTCTTTCAACAAAAGGAGTGTGGGGGCATGGATGTCTCGGGGGTCCATGCTGCCTGCCTGCCTGGCAGATGGATTGATCACCTGGTGCCTCTACACGTGAGGCAGACGCCTGGAGTTTGCTAAACGGCATTGGCACTTGGATTGGAACTGGTGCTTTGGTCAGATTACATGAAAATTGAGCTCTTTGGCCACGCACACCAGTGGTGGGTTTGGCGTCGAAATGAGAATGCATAAGCAGAAAATAACCCCATACCTACTGTAAAATATGGATATTTGATGTTATGGGGCTATTTGGTTTCCACTGGTCCTGGGGCCCTTGTTAAGGTCAACAACATCATGAACTTTACTCAGTACCAGGACATTTTAGCCAAAAACCTGGTTGCCTCTGTCAGTAGGCTGAAACCTGGCCACAAGTGGATCTTTCAGCAAGACAATAACCCCAAGCACACATCAAAATCCACAAAGAAATTGTTAATTGGCCACAAAATCAACATGAAACCCATTGAAAATCTGTGGTTTGAATTGAAGAGGGCAGTCCATAAGTGCAGACAAAGGATATCAAGAAACTCTGAAGGATTTTGTATGGAGGAATGGTATAAGATCCCTCCCAATGTGTTCTCCAACTCATAAAACATTTTAGAAAAAGGCTCGGTGCTGTTATCCTCGCAAGGTGAGGTATTGAAAACGTGTCAATAATTTGGACCCCTACTGTTTTCAGAAAAAATATATATTACTTGTTAAACAAAATCTCTTTCTCTGAGCAATTGTATTAGTATGAAATAATATAATTTCCCATAATTTTTTTTGCATACAATATAGCTCAGTATTTGAATTATACTGAACAAAAATATAAACGCATCATGCAACAATTTCAACGATTGTACTGAGTTACAGTTCATATACAGTGCCTTGCAAAAGTATTCATCCCCCTTGGCATTTTTCCTATTTTGTTGCATTACAATCTGTAATTTAAATGGATTTTTATTTGGATTTCATGTAATGGACACACAAAATAGTCCAAATTGGTGAAGTGAAATGAAAAAAAATAACTTGTTTCAAAAAAGTGGTGCGCGCATATGTATTCACCCTCTTTGCTGTGAAGCCCCTAAATAAGATCTGGTGCAACCAATTACCTTCAGAAGTCACATAATTAGTTTAAAAAGTCCACCTGTGTGCAATCTAAGTGTCACATGATCTGTCACATGATCTCAGTATATATACACCTGTTCTGAAAGGCCCCAGAGTCTGCACCACCAAGCAAGCGGCACCATGAAGACCAAGGAGCTCTCCAAACAGGTCAGGGACAAAGTTGTGGAGAAGTACAGATCAGGGTTGGGTTATAGAAAAATATCAGAGACTTTGAACATCCCACGGAGCACCATTACATCCATTATTTAAAAAAATGGAAAGAATATGGCACCACAACAAACCTGCCAAGAGAGGGCCGCCCACCAAAACTCACAGACCAGGCAAGGAGGGCATTAATCAGAGAGGCAACAAAGAGACCAAAGATAACCCTTAAGCAGCTGCAAAGCTCCACAGTGGAGATTGGAGTATCTGTCGAAAGGACCACTTTAAGCCGTACACTCAACAGAGCTCGGCTTTACGGAAGAGTGGCCAGAAAAAAGCCATTGCTTAAAGAAGAAAATAAGCAAACACGTTTGGTGTTCGCCAAAAAGCATGTGGGAGACTCCCCAAACATATGGAAGAAGGTACTCTGGTCAGATGAGCCTAAAATTGAGCTTTTTGGCCAACAAGGAAAACGCTATGTCTGGCGCAAAGCCAACACCTCTCATCACCCCGAGAACACCATCCCGACAGTGAAGCATGGTGGTGGTGGCAGCATCATGCTGTGGGGATGTTTTTCATAAGCAGGGACTGGGAAACTGGTCAGAATTGAGGGAATGATGGATGGCGCTAAATACAGGGAAATTCTTGAGGGAAACCTGTTTCACTCTTCCAGAGATTTGAGACTGGGACGGAGGTTCACCTTCCAGCAGGACAATGACTCTAAGCATACTGCTAAAGCAACACTTGAGTGGTTTAAGGGGAAACATTTACAGTTGAAGTCAGAAGTTTACATACACTTAGTTTGTAGTCATTAAAACTCGTTTTTTTCAACCACTCCACACATTTTTGGTTAACAAACTATACATTTACATTTTACATTTACATCATTTAGCAGACGCTCTTATCCAGAGCGACTTACAAATGGGTGCATTCACCTTATAGCCAGTGGGATAACCACTTAACAAATTTTTTTTTTTTTTTTTTTTGGGGGGGGGGGGGGGGGGGGGGGGGGGGGGGGGTTAGAAGGATTACTTTATCCTATCCCAGGTGTTCCTTAAAGAGGTGGATAGTTTTGGCAAGTCGGTTAGGACATCTGCTTTGTGCATGACACAAGTAATCTTTCCAAAAATTGTTTACAGACAGATTATTTCACTTATAATTCACTGTATCACAATTCCAGTGGGTCAGAAGTTTATATACACTAAGTTGACAGTGCCTTTAAACAGCTTGGAAAATTCCAGAAAATGATGGCTAATTGACATCATTTCAGTCAATTGAAGGTGTACCTGTGGATGTATTTCAAGGCCTACCTTCAAACTCAGTGCCTCTTTGCTTGACATCATGGGAAAATCAAAATAAATCAGCCAAGACCTCAGCAAAAAATGTTTAGACCTCCACAAGTCTGGTTCATAATTGGGAGAAATTTCCAAACGCCTGAAGGTACCACATTCATCTGTACAAACAATAGTATGCAAGTATAAACACCATGGGACCACGCAGCCGTCATACCGCTCAGGAAGGAGACACGTTCTGTCTCCTAGAGATTAACATACATTGGTGCGAAAAGTGCAAATCAATCCCAGAACAACAGCAAAGGACCTTGTAAAGATGCTGGAGGAAACAGGTACAAAAGTATCTATATCCACAGTAAAACGAGTCCTATATCGACATAACCTGAAAGGCCGCTCCGCAAGGAAGAAGCCACTGCTCCAAAACTGCCATAAAAAAGCCAGACTACGGTTTGCAACTGCACATGGGGACAAAGATCGTACTTTTTGGAGAAATGTCCTCTTGTCTGATGAAACAAAAATAGAATCGTTTGCCCATAATGACCATCATTATGTTTGGAGGAAAAAGGGGGTTGCTTGCAAGCCGAAGAACACCATCCCAACCGTGAAGCACGGAGGTGGCAACATCATGCTGTGGGGGTACTTTGCTGCAGGAGGGACTGGTGCACTTCACAAAATAGATGGCATCATGAGGAAGGAAAATGATGTGGATATATTGAAGCAACATCTCAAGACATCAGTCAGGAAGTTAAAGCTTGGTCGCAAATGGGTCTTCCAAATGGACAATGACCCCAAGCATACTTCCAAAGTTGTGCCAAAATGGCTTAAGGACAACAAAGTCAAGGTATTGGAGTGGCCATCACAAAGCCCTGACCTCAATCCTATAGAACATTTGTGGGCAGAACTGAAAAAGTGTGTGCGAGCAAGGAGGCCTACAAACCTGACTCAGTTACACCAGCTCTGTCAGGAGGAATGGGCCAAAATTCACCCAACTTATTGTGGGAAGCTTGTGGAAGGCTACCCAAAACGTTTGACCCAAGTTAAACAATTTAAAGGCAATGCTACCAAATACTAATTGAGTGTATGTAAACTTCTGACCCACTGGGAATGTGATGAAAGAAATAAAAGCAGAAATAAATCATTCTCTCTACTATTATTCTAACGTTTCACATTCTTAAAATAAAGTGGTTATCCTAACTGACCTAAGACATGGATTTTTTACTAGGATTAAATGTCAGGAATTGTGAAAAGCTGAGTTTAAATGTATTTGGCTAAGGTGTATATAAACTTCCGACTTCAACTGTAAATGTCTTGGAATGGCCTAGTCAAAGCCCAGACCTCAATCCAATTGAGAATCTCTGGTATTATTTAAAGATTGCTGTACACCAGCGGAACCCTTCCAACTTGAAGGACCTGGAGCAGTTTTCTCTTGAAGAATGGGCAAGAATCCCAGTGGATAGATTTGCCAAGCTTATAGAGACATAGCCCGAGAGATTTGCAGCTGTAATTGCTGCAAAAGGTGGCTTTTCAAAGTATTGACTTTGGGTGTGGTGAATAGTTATGCACGCTCAAGTTTTATGTTTTTTTGTCTTATTTCTTGTTTGTCTCACAATAAAAAAGATTTTGCATCTTCAAAGTGGTAGGCATGTTGTGTAAATCAAATGATACAAACCCCCCAAAAATCAATTTTAATTCCAGGTTGTAAGGCAACAAAATAGGACAAATGCCAAGGGGGGTGAATACTTTCGCAAGCCACTGTAAGGAAATCAGTCAATTGAAATAAATTAATTTGGCCCTGGGCAGGGGTGCAGCCATGTGTTTTGCGTTCTGAGATGCCGTTCTGCACACCACTGTTGTACTGCGCCATTATTTGTCTGTTTGTGGCCGCTTGTACGATTCTTACCATTCTCCCTTGACCACTCATCAACGAGCTGTTTTCGCCCACAGGACTGCCGATGAATGGATGTTTTTATTTGTAGCACCATCCTCACCCTGAGAATGCGTGAAAAGCCCAGGAGGGTGGCCGTTTCTGAGGTCACTTGTTTTGCCCATTCTAACGTTCAATCGAACAGTAACTGAATGCCTGTCTGCCTGCTTTATATAGCAAGTCACGGCCACGTGACTCACTGTCTGTAGAAGAGATACATTTTCGTGATGTACCTAATAAGCTGTCCGGTGAGTGTATACCCCCATATCACACACTGACAAACTGAAAACACAACGTGTGGACAATTAATTGGTTAGAGAGGTCTCATATCACTTTAATTTGTATCTTTAGAATCGAGGCAAAGTTGGTTCCTGTTTCAGTCACGTCTTTGGCCAACGATGGTCAACGACTTGACAAAAGTGATCCACTCGAATGCGCCCAATGGGTTGGGGAGATGGAGAGGGCCAAGATGGCTGCCCCTTTCGTGTTCCAAGCGTCCTCGTAACCTCCATCTTGAACTTTGTTCTCTTCTCTCGGCCTGACATGGAGAGAAGAGGAGGGGGCGTGGCAGCTTGTCTTGCGTGTTTGCACCCCTAGTGTGTTTTCCAAGGGAAGGTTTATGAAATGAACATGATGCCCCAAACCAGAACAACTTTGCTGCTCTGCCACTCTATGGGGCTAGTTTGACCTCATACAGTGGGGGAAAAAAGTATTTAGTCAGCCACCAATTATGCAAGTTCTCCCACTTAAAAAGATGAGAGAGGCCTGTAATTTTCATCATAGGTACACGTCAACTATGACAGACAAAATGAGGAAAAAAAATCCAGAAAATCACATTGTAGGATATTTAATGAATTTATTTGCAAATTATGGTGGAAAATAAGTATTTGGTCAATAACAAAAGTTTCTCAATACTTTGTTATATACCCTTTGTTGGCAATGACACAGGTCAAACGTTTTCTGTAAGTCTTCACAAGGTTTTCACACACTGTTGCTGGTATTTTGGCCCATTCCTCCATGCAGATCTCCTCTAGAGCAGTGATGTTTTGGGGCTGTCGCTGGGCAACACGGACTTTCAACTCCCTCCAAAGATTTTCTATGGGGTTGAGATCTGGAGACTGGCTAGGCCACTCCAGGACCTTGAAATGCTTCTTACGAAGCCACTCCTTCGTTGCCCGGGCGGTGTGTTTGGGATCATTGTCATGCTGAAAGACCCAGCCACGTTTCATCTTCAATGCCCTTGCTGATGGAAGGACGTTTTCACTCAAAATCTCACGATACATGGCCCCATTCATTCTTTCCTTTACACGGATCAGTCGTCCTGGTCCCTTTGCAGAAAAACAGCCCCAAAGCATGATGTTTCCACGCCCATGCTTCACAGTAGGTATGGTGTTCTTTGGATGCAACTCAGCATTCTTTGTCCTCCAAACACGACGAGTTTAGTTTTTACCAAAAAGTTCTATTTTGGTTTCATCTGACCATATGACATTCTCCCAATCCTCTTCTGGATCATCCAAATGCACTCTAGCAAACTTCAGATGGGCCTGGACATGTACTGGCTTAAGCAGGGGGACACGTCTGGCACTGCAGGATTTGAGTCCCTGGCGGCGTAGTGTGTTACTGATGGTAGGCTTTGTTACTTTGGTCCCAGCTCTCTGCAGGTCATTCACTAGGTCCCCCCGTGTGGTTCTGGGATTTTTGCTCACCGTTCTTGTGATCATTTTGACCCCACGGGGTGAGATCTTGCGTGGAGCCCCAGATCGAGGGAGATTATCAGTGGTCTTGTATGTCTTCCATTTCCTAATAATTGCTTCCACAGTTGATTTCTTCAAACCAAGCTGCTTACCTATTGCAGATTCAGTCTTCCCAGCCTGGTGCAGGTCTACAATTTTGTTTCTGGTGTCCTTTGACAGCTCTTTGGTCTTGGCCATAGTGGAGTTTGGAGTGTGACTGTTTGAGGTTGTGGACAGGTGTCTTTTATACTGATAACAAGTTCAAACAGGTGCCATTAATACAGGTAACGAGTGGAGGACAGAGGAGCCTCTTAAAGAAGAAGTTACAGGTCTGTGAGAGCCAGAAATCTTGCTTGTTTGTAGGTGACCAAATACTTATTTTCCACCATAATTTGCAAATAAATTCATTAAAAATCCTACAATGTGACTTTCTGGAATTATTTTTTTTTCTCAATTTGTCTGTCATAGTTGACGTGTACCTATGATGAAAATTACAGGCCTCTCATCTTTTTAAGTGGGAGAACTTGCACAATTGGTGGCTGACTAAATACTTTTCCCCCCACTGTTTCTATTTACATATAGCAGTCAGTGAATATGTATATTAATAACGACTTCTTTCTCTCTACCTCTTCCAGGCCGCATCCATCCCTGAGGCTCCCGTGTCAGCTCCTGCCGAATTTGAGGTAAACCTCCCCTCCCCTACCCTTTCCTCAACTCCCTGAACTATTTCCCCACATCATCTGCTGTTGCTCAAACATTGTTCTGGTGGAGCGGCAGAGTCTGAACAAAGGACAAGCCTTTCTACAGAAATGTGTTTATACTAGTATGACGCCAGCTTCCCACCCTTTCACTACCACAGTGTGGTCAACAACTACCCCTCCTTCTGCATTTAGTTGGGCCATACATAGTAATATCCCCTTTCGGTACTCTTTATTTTATAAATGTGTAGACTAACTCCTTGTCGTCCCTATTCAGGTCCAGGTTGAAGACTCCGTAGCCATTACCACAGAGATTGCACAGGTAAAAGCCTATCTTTGTCATTCGTCTGTCTCTGTGTGTGTGTGTGCAATATGAAAAATATATAGTGCATGCGATTTTAGTCCAAGTGATTCTGGTGCATGGTAGAATCTGTAGGTAGTCTATGGTACATTAGGTGAGTGTTTCAGTAGTACTGTGTGTATATCACCCATAGTGCCGTTGCATGTTTATTTAGTTTTTGTGTGGCGTATTTGACTGTGTTCCACTGCATGTTTAGACGCATGACGAGCCGTTGGTCAAGGCCGACGTGGAGGCTGAAATAGTTGCCGAGGTCCAAGCGGAGGTCGAGACAGTAGTCGAGCCAGAACCAGGGCCAGTGGTCGAGGCCGACGCTGCCCCAGTAGTGGAAACTGAAGTTGAAATTGAAGAGGTGGTGATCGACGCAGAGGACAGTCCTGTGATTGAAGCTGAGGTCATTCCTATGGTCGACACAGGTGCCATTCCTGAAGAAGTTGAAGTAGAGGAGGCCCCAGTCGTCACAGAGGTGCTACATCATGCTAACGTGCTACGTCGCTAACGACCCTTCTCTGCTCTCACGCCTCTGCCTTTCCTGAAGACGCTCAACTCAAGTCCTTTGTTCTTTTGCGTGATGTTGTGTGTGATCGTGTGTGGTTTGCTCTGTTCCTTCCCCTTTCTCTTTCTCTTAAACAGCGTTCAGAAAAAGCATATTTGATTGGATGAGTCTTTAATTAGTAATTTCTCCTCGTTCCAGGATGAGCCTGTCATGACAGAGGCACCTGAAGAGGTTCCAGTTGTAAGCAGACATTTCTCACTACTTTATTATTGTACAAATCTCTAGATGCCACTAGATCCATTTCCTAAGCGTTCGTGTCAGCTCATTGCAGCCTGGGCTTTTGAGCTAGTGATTGCTGCTAATAGTAAGGCTATGGCTCTCCCTAGTGGACAGCTGGAGCACTTCGCAAATTTTACACTTCAGTGTTTGCTCCCCTGGTCGTGCCTGTATTGACCAATGATAGATTTTTTTGTGTTGCCTAATTTTTGCTTTGGAATCAAACTGACTCTCTCTTCCCAGGAAACAGAAATTATCCCAGAAACGCCGTCGGAGCCCGTGGAAGCCCCAGTTGAAGCCCCCGTAGCCGAGGTCGCTCCCTCAGAACCCCTTGGAGAGGTAAGGCTGACCAACGCATGGCATTAAGCCTGCTCAGTCCTAGGGGTGTGAACGTTAAACGAAATTGGGACGTTAACTTTAAGAAAAAATACCTAACCGAAAAAGTTATTCCGCAAAATTTAAATCCCAGTGCAGTTACATTTACATTTACATTTACGTCATTTAGCAGACACTCTTATCCAGAGCGACTTACAAATTGGTGCATTCACCTTATAGCCAGTGGGATAACCACTTTACAATATGTTTTTTCTTTCTTTGGGGTGGGGTAAGGGGGGTAGAAGGATTACTTTATCCTATCCCAGGTATTCCTTAAAGAGGTGGGGTTTCAAGTGTCTCCGGAAGGTGGTGAGTGACTCCGCTGTCCTGGCGTCGTGAGGGAGCTTTTTCCACCATTGGGGTGCCAGAGCAGCGAACAGTTTTGACTGGGCTGAGCGGGAACTGTGCTTCCGCAGAGGTAGGGGGGCCAGCAGGCCAGAGGTGGATGAACGCAATGCCCTCGTTTGGGTGTAGGGACTGATCAGAGCCTGAAGGTACGGTGGTGCCGTTCCCCTCACAGCTCCGTAGGCAAGCACCATGGTCTTGTAGCAGATGCGAGCTTCAACTGGAAGCCAGTGGAGTGTGCGGAGGAGCGGGGTGACGTGAGAGAACTTGGGAAGGTTGAACACCAGACGGGCTGCGGCATTCTGGATGAGTTGTAGGGGTTTAATGGCACAGGCAGGGAGCCCAGCCAACAGCGAGTTGCAGTAATCCAGACGGGAGATGACAAGTGCCTGTATTAGGACCTGTGCCGCTTCCTGTGTAAGGCAGGGTCGTACTCTCCTAATGTTGTAGAGCATGAACCTACAGGATCGGGTCACCGCCTTGATGTTAGCGGAGAACGACAGGGTGTTGTCCAGGGTCACGCCAAGGCTCTTTGCACTCTGGGAGGAAGACACAACGGAGTTGTCAACCGTGATGGCGAGATCATGGAACGGGCAGTCCTTCCCCGGGAGGAAGAGCAGCTCCGTCTTGCCGAGGTTCAGCTTGAGGTGGTGATCCGTCATCCACACTGATATGTCTGCCAGACATGCAGAGATGCGATTCGCCACCTGGTTATCAGAAGGGGGAAAGGAGAAGATTAGTTGTGTGTTGTCTGCGTAGCAATGATAGGAGAGGCCATGTGAGGATATGACAGAGCCAAGTGACTTGGTGTATAGCGAGAATAGGAGAGGGCCTAGAACTGAGCCCTGGGGGACCCCAGTGGTGAGAGCACGTGGTGCGGAGACAGATTCTCACCACGCCACTTGGTAGGAGCGACCGGTCAGGTAGGACGCAATCCAAGAGTGAGCCGCGCCAGAGATGCCCAACTCAGAGAGGGTGGAGAGGAGGATCTGATGGTTCACAGTATCAAAGGCAGCAGACAGGTCTAGAAGGACAAGAGCAGAGGAGAGAGAGTTAGCTTTAGCAGTGCGGAGAGCCTCCGTGACACAGAGAAGAGCAGTCTCAGTTGAATGACCAGTCTTGAAACCTGACTGGTTTGGATCAAGAAGGTCATTCTGAGAGAGATAGCAAGAGAGTTGGCTAAATACGGCATGCTCAAGAGTTTTGGAGAGAAAAGAAAGAAGGGATACTGGTCTGTAGTTGTTGACATCGGAGGGATCGAGTGTAGGTTTTTTGAGAAGGGGTGCAACTCTCGCTCTCTTGAAGACGGAAGGGACATAGCCAGCGGTCAAGGATGAGTTGATGAGTGAGGTGAGGTAAGGTCTCCGGAGATGGTCTGGAGAAGAGAGGAGGGGATAGGGTCAGGCGGGCAGGTTGTTGGGCGGCCGGCCGTCACAAGTCGCAAGATTTCATCTGGAGAGAGAGGGGAGAAAGAAGTCAAAGCATAGGGTAGGGCAGTGTGAGCAGGACCAGTAGTGTCATTTGACTTAACAAACGAGGATCGGATGTCGTCAACCTTCTTTGCAAAATGGTTGACGAAGTCATCCACAGAGAGGGAGGAGGGGGGGAGGGGGAGGAGGATTCAGCAGGGAGGAGAAGGTGGCAAAGACCTTCCTAGGGTTAGAGGCAGATGCTTGGAATTTAGAGTGGAGTTATCACTAAATTATCATCATAAAGGGAAAAATGTATAATAAACAAAAACCTAATGCAACAATGCTGTAACGTTAGTAGAAGATATGCATCTTTCAAATTATTTGCCATGGATATAAAGTGTTTCGCTCGTCAACGTTAAGATTGAAAAAGGCAAGCAACAGCAGCGAACCGCCTGCTCTGCACGCTGTTGTACACGTCGATCCAGAGCATCCCAAACATGCTCAATGTGTGACATGTCTGAATCAGTGGAGGCTCCTCAGAGGAGGAAGGGGAGGACCATCCTCAGTAATTTTCTAACATTAAAAAGTTTATCCTTTTTAGATAAAACTATACTAAATATAATCACGTCACCAAATAATTGATTAAAACATACTATTTTGCAATTAAGGTCTACAGTAGCCTCAAAACCACTCTGTAGGGCAGCACCATGGTGTAGCCGGAGGACAGCTAGCTTCAGTCCTCCTCTGGGTACATTGACTTCAATACAAAACCTAGGAGGCTCATGGTTCTCACCCACTTCCATAGACTTACACAGTAATTATGACAACTTCCGGAGGACGTCCTCCAACCTATCAGAGCTCTTGCAGAATGAACTGACATGTTGTCCACCCAATCAAAGGATCAGAGAATGAATCTAGTACTAAAAGTAAAAGATACAGCTAGCTAGCACTGCAGTGCATAATATATGGTGAGTAGTTGACTCAAAGAGAAAGACAATAGTTGAACAGTTTTGAACAAATTCATTTCTTCCAAAATGAAGGAGAAGCAAGAAAGTGTCTTTTTTTTCTCCTTCCACTTTCAGTTTCACTTACTTAGCTAGCAAATGCAGCTATCTAGTTTAGCCTACTCAAACACCCTGCTCAAACAGAGGGATGCTATGTTAGCTAGCTGGCTATGACTATCCAACACAACACTGGAACTCTTCCAAGTCAAGGTAAGCTTTTGGTTTGACTAATTTATTGCCACCGGGGCCCACCGGTGTAAGCACTAAACTGCTTACTGACTACACTGTAACATTACTGCATGATTGTAGCAGGTTTACTAACGCGTTAGTTATATTAGCTATGTTGACTATGACATTACTTTAGCTAATATGGTGACAACGATGTAGGCTGTGTGTAGCAGTTATGATATGGTTTGGAAAGGTTTTTTCGCCTGGTCACATACAGCTGATGTGTTGTGCATTGATGTCCACAAGCGACGAAGGGAAAAGGTGAGAGGAGGAGAGCGCATAGATGCGAGAAGGAATACAACGTGGCTGTTATGAAAGTGAACTGTGATCAGGTGTGTATTCATTATGCCGATTCTGTTGGAAAACGTTTCTTAAACGGAACAAAATGGGGATAAACATACCTGAATTTGTCTAATAGAAACTCTTGTTTGCAACTGTTGGACTAATGATTACACCCTATATCAGCTTGATGCAGGCAAGAGTGTGGAAGGCGGTATTGAATGTGTCACTGTCTGTCCATGTGTCACCTCAATTTTTTATCTCGACCTGTGTGCACCTACGTTGTAAACTTTCATTCATAGGCTAGGTTGTAGCAACCTCATGATGGGTATAAGAAAAATGTGAGTATCATATAGTAGCCTAAACCTATTGCTGTTACATTGAACTGGGTGAATGGAATATGAATGACAGACATCCAATATGCTGTAATAGGAATTAGGCCATGCTCTTGAAAAAAAAAAAAATCCTCCCTCATCTTAAACGGCACTGACTGCCACTGGTCTGAATATGAAGGCCATGGAAGTTCTGGGACATTTTGAGCTTCCAGGAATTGTGTACAGATCCTTGCAACATGGGGCTGTGCATTATTATGCTGAAATATGAGGTGATGGTGGCGGATTAATGACACGACAATGGGCCTCAGGATCTTGTCACGGCATCTCTGTGCATTTAAATTGCCATCGATAAAATGCAATTGTGTTCGTTGTCCATAGTTTATGCCTGCCCATACCATAACCCCACCGCCAACATGGGGCACTCTGTTCACAACATTGACATCAGCAAACCGCTTTCCCACACAACGACATACACGCCATCTGCCCAGTACAGTTGAAAACAAGATTCATCTGTGAAGAGCACACTTCTCCAGCATGTCAGTGGCCATCGAAGGTGAGCATTTGCCCACTGATGTCTGTTACGAAGCCGAACTGCAGTCAGGTTAAGACCCTGGTGAGGACAACGAGCATGCAGATGAACTTCCCTGAGATGGTTTTTGACAGTTTGTGCAGAAAGTCTTCGGTTGTGCAAAACCACAGTTTCATCAGCTGTCCGGGAGGCTGGTCTCAGATGATCCCGCAGGTGAAGAAGACGGATGTGGAGGTCCTGGGCTGGCGTGGTTACGCGTGGTCTGCAGTTGTGAGGCCGGTTGGACGTACTGCCAAATTCTCTAAAACGACGTTGGAGGCAGCTTATGGTAGAGAAATGAACATTCAATTCTCTGGCAACAGCTCTGGTGGACATTCCTGCAGTCAGCATACCAATTGCACGCTCCCTCAACTTGAGACATCTGTGGCATTACAAAACTGCACATTTTAGTTACCTTTAATTGTCCCCAGCACAAGGTGCACCTGTGCAATGATCATGCTGTTTAGTCAGCTTCTTGATATGCCATATCTGTCAGGTGGATGGATTATCTTGGCAAAGGAGAAATGCTCACTAACAGGGATGTAAACAAATTTGTGCACAACATTTGAAATAAATACATTTTCTGTGCATATGGAACATTTCTGGAATATTTTATTTCAGCCGATGAAACATGAGACCAAATCGCTTGCAGACTTGAATGATTTACTATCGAACACAACAAGTGGCCACTCGACAAAAGGCTTAGGGGCAAAGTGTTGGGTTTGAGATTCAGCCTTTGACTGCAGTAGATAGAACTTCATTGCCCCCATACGTAATTGGACCATATTCTGCATTGTGAATTCACATTGAATTTTATGAAATTTTTATGGAAAACCGATAAATGGCCGTTTAAACACCAATAATGTTTTCCCATTTGTCACATCCCTACTCAGTCCCTTTACTTTTCTCAGTAAGAAAGGAGAAATGGAAGTTAAGTTAGAATTTGTCTATGCTCTCCAGGCCCCAGTAGACCCTGTCATCGATAGAGTGGCCGACGACTTTGTCGTCACAGAATCTGTCCTCACTGTCGAGGCAGCCATGGCTGAGCCTGCCATCGAGGAGCAGGTGAGACTCACGCTCCGATCATACCTACTCTTAACACATACACACAAGGATGTCGTTTTGGCACACCTTTAAATCACCTGCTGACGTCCCGTCAAGTCTGACTGCGTGTCATCTGTGTTCAGGTGCCCGCAGTCCCAACAGATGCACTTGAAGCCCTATCGGAGTCGCGGAACGACGTCCATCCAGTACCTGAGCCCGCCCCTGTCACAGCTGATGAAGTCATCGACGTGAGTCTTCCTACTTTTCTCTATGCAGAGACTGAGGTGCCCAATGTCAGATGTAGTTTTGGTAGAGCAGACATGAGACACACACACACACACACACACAGACTTACTCCTGTAACCCCGTTGTCTGGTTGGTCTCAGAAGGCAGAGTGTGAGGAGGAAGAGGTGACAAAGATGGGGGAGAGAGACTACACACTTCCACCCGATTACCGGCCCTCTCCGGAGGACCTGCTGGTCAGAGTTAAACCATAATAACCTACAAGCTTCTCATCTACTCAGACTCATTTATAATAATGACTCAAATCAACTCTTTACGCAACCACCTTGCTATATTAAGCACTAACATACGATCAAACACTTGGGTGTAGGCTATCCCCTCATTTGAATGCTCTCGCACATTTTGAAACGTGCCCATCCAGGGGTTCTTGTTTCCTCATGGGTTTCTCTTTGGATCAAACCTCCCTCCTTGTGGTCTTCCTTTTTACATTCTGTTCATTCCCTGGGCTGTGGGTTGCTCCAGCTCCTTTTATTGCATTGGGCATGCCATGTACTGTAGTGGGTGGGACTACTGGCTTAGTTGTGCGCTCAACATTGACTGAGTGTATTTCCTTTGCAGGCTACAGAGGAAATTGAAGCCCAGATGGAAATTGAGGCCAAAAAGGACGCCATTGATGAGAATACTGCCCTGGATGTCCTCTCTGGAGATTTCTCAGCCCCCCAGCCTGTCATCTCAGAACTGCAGTGTCACACGCAGCTTACCTCCACGCCCGTAGAGCTCGCCACCAGGGTAAGAGCCTATAGTGACACTACTGTATCCAACTCTCCAAAACAATTACAATCTGTCTTTACATGTATTGTAAATCAACCACCTCCTTTCTTACATTCCAATCTAAACCCCTCCCTTGTTCTTTAGGATATCCCAGCAGAGGCAGCACTGAATGGACACATGGCAACTGAGGTGGCCATTGAGGGATAGATCTTTGCAGGTGAGGACTTGTTGTTTAATCTCCCTAAACGCTTTGTTTGAACGCACGTACTTGCGTCGGGTTTAAATTGGCGTTAACATTCTGTTATTGTTTCTGTCTCCCCATAGATTTCCTCAGTCAGTATTGAGGACTGAAGTGAGCCTCACGGGGAGCCGACCAGCAAACTTTACTTTTCAATATTTAGGGCTTAAAGGGACCGGGAAATTAAACGGACATCCAACACTAAAAGTGCCTTTCCTGCTTAGGTTCTCACCAAAAGAAAATCAAACACATTTTAAATGCAGCATCGAGGTGGGGGAATAAGAGTCTTTGGATCAGAATGTGACTATTTGGAATGAACAAATTATGGCTTCTTTCATAGATTTTTCTGTATCCCAATGCATGTATTGTGGATTTGCATCGATTGTAAATGGCATACATTGTGTATGGATACTGTAGAATTAATGAATGTGGCAATGGCTTGTCTTCACATTTGGACCATGTTTGTATGGATGGGAGGGGTATTTCCTTGTACGTGTTTTCTACATGCTAACTACACCGGGCACGAGCGTGCATCTGCGTGCTCCATCATGTGCATGTTGATTTTGTCCATCCACACCAGACGTGATTAGGACTTGCAGGTTGAAATATCAAAACTAACTCTGAACCAGCTATATTAATTTGGGGACAGGTCAAAACACATTAAACATTCATGGTCATTTAGCTAGCTAGCTCGCTGTTGCTAACTAATTTGTCCTGGGATATAAACATTGGGTTGTTACTTTACCTGAAATGCACAAGGTCCTTTTTTCCCTGGATCTTTGTAGAATTCTGACCCATTTTGAGTCACACAATCGTGTGTTCTCTACTCCGACAATTAATCCACAGGTAAAAGGGGAAACCTAGTTAGTTTCTAGTAATCTCTCCTCCTTCAGTCTTCTTCTTCTGTGGACTTTATATGTCGGTTGGCAACCAACTTTAAGGTGCATTACCACCATCAACTGGACTGGAGTGTGGTCCTCAGTTCAGCTTTCAATCACCCACGTGGGTATATGCTCCTAAAAACCAATGAGGGGATGGGAGAGGCGGGACTTGCAGCGTGTCACGCGTCAAAAATAAAACCAAGTTCTATTTTAGTGCCTTGCTACGCAGACGCTCACGAGCAGTTTGGATTAAATGATTGAATAACATGCCCATCCCCTTCACTGTGTACTGGCAGTGTCTACAGTCCCGTTGGAGAAAGTCTGCCCTGTGCAATGAGAAAGGGTGTGAAGTTTCCCAGGCCCTCTGACCAGATTCTCTTAAAGACGTCCTCTGTCGATTTTTGAACTTTTACTGTTGAAAAGTGATATCCCAAGTATAAATGCAGTAAAGTGCACACACACAAAAAGAGGAAAGCCCCCCCACCCCCACTTATGCTATGTCATGACTTACCTGGACCACCTATTGAGATGTGCCTTTTAAGTAAATCAGGTGTTAAATGAGGTGAAAAGGAGACAGGAGTGCCGCTTTAACATTCAATTAACTACACCACAATCTGGCCACTGAAAATGGGGGCTTGTAGATCCTGTTTGTTTTTTAATTTAATTTTCTCATTCTGTTTTGTATAGACGATTAGATGTCGTACAACCGCAGTTTGCGTTCATGGTTCTGTGCTTTGGAAGGTACCATGAGGAGTTATGTAATGAATGAGCTGGGTTGGATTTCATTCACCTTTTTGAATAAAGATGTTACTCACCGTGATACAGTTGGCCTGTTTATTCAAAATTCAACTTAGTAATCAGATGTATACTGAAGAAAAATATTAACACAACATGCAACAATTAACGATTTTACTGAGTTACAGTTCATATAAGAAAATCAGTAAATTGAAATAAATAAATTAGGCCCTAATCTATGGATTTCACATGAATTGGCAGGGGCACAGTCCCAGGGAGGCCCACCCACTGAGGAGCCAGGCCTAGCCAGTCAGAATGAGTTTTTCCCCACAAAAGTGCTTTGTTACAGACAGAAATACTCCTCAGTTTCATCAGCTGTCCAGGTGGCTGGTCTCAGACGATTCCGCAGGTGAAGAAGCCGGATGTGGAGATCCTGGGCTTGTGTGGTTACACGTGGTCTGTGGTTGTGAGGCCGGTTGGATGACATTGGAGGTGGCTTATGGTAGAGAAATTAATATTAAATGATCTGGCAAGAGCTCTGGTGGACATTCCTGCAGTCAGCATGACAATTGCACACTCCCTCAAAACTTGAGACATCTGTGGCATTGTGTTGTGTGACAAAACTGCACATTTTAGAGTGGCCTTTTATTGTGCACCTGTGTAATGATCATGCTATTTAATCAGCTTCTTGATATGCCACACCTGTCAGGTGGATGGATTATCTTGGCAAAGGAGAAATTCTCACTAACAGGAATGTCAACAAATTTGTACACAAAATTTGAGAGAAATAAGCTTTTTGTACGTATAGAAAATATCTGGGATCTTTTATTTGAGCTCATGAAACATGGAACCAACACTTTACATGTTGCGTTTATATTTTTGTTCAGTGTATATGTTCAGCCTGAATTCTACATTGGCATAATGTTTGAAATTTCTTGCACAACCATTCATGCTTTCAGACAGCTGAAGCAAGCACAATCAATTATTTTGAACTACATTTTGTGGCATGTAATACAGAGTTCTTTTCAATATTTTTTATTTAAAAATACCACACAAATGTATTGATTTCATAGTTGGAAAGAGTTAACATTACATGCCAAGGCATAACATAAGGATACCAGCAAAGGGACATTATTACAACCAGGAGTTCTGTCGGTGTAACCTACCTAGGAAAAACTCCATGCTCTAGTTCTATGCTTCTAGGATGTTAATTTAGGAGACTGGCAGCATTTGACTAGTTGAGTAATTTCCTAATTTATTTGAAGGATCTCCCCAGATCCAAAGATGTCTGCTACTTTAGCAAGTGTATCATGAGTAAAATAAAATTTAGAATAAATAAATATAAAGCTAGAATCCGCATTTACAACATCTATTTTTGGACTTATAAATGAATGATATACAGGTAAAAGTCAGTAAATTAGAATATTTTGAAAAACTTGATTTATTTCAGTAATTGCATTCAAAAGGTGTAACTTGTACATTATATTTATTCATTGCACACAGACTGATGCATTCAAATGTTTATTTCATTTAATTTTGATGATTTGAAGTGGCAACAAATGAAAATCCAAAATTCCGTGTGTCACAAAATTAGAATATTACTTAAGGCTAATACAAAAAAGGGATTTTTTAGAAATGTTGGCCAACTGAAAAGTATGAAAATGAAAAATATGAGCATGTACAATACTCAATACTTGGTTGGAGCTCCTTTTGCCTCAATTACTGCATTAATGCGGCGTGGCATGGAGTCGATGAGTTTCTGGCACTGCTCAGGTGTTATGAGAGCCCAGGTTGCTCTGATAGTGGCCTTCAACTCTTCTGCGTTGTTGGGTCTGGCATTCTGCATCTTCCTTTTCACAATACCCCACAGATTTTCTATGGGGCTAAGGTCAGGGGAGTTGGCTGGCCAATTTAGAACAGAAATACCATGGTCCGTAAACCAGGCACGGGTAGATTTTGCGCTGTGTGCAGGCGCCAAGTCCTGTTGGAACCTGAAATCTCCATCTCCATAGAGCAGGTCAGCAGCAGGAAGCATGAAGTGCTCTAAAACTTGCTGGTAGACGGCTGCGTTGACCCTTGATCTCAGGAAACAGAGTGGACCGACACCAGCAGATGACATGGCACCCCAAACCATCACTGATGGTGGAAACTTTACACTAGACTTCAGGCAACGTGGATCCTGTGCCTCTCCTGTCTTCCTCCAGACTCTGGGACCTCGATTTCCAAAGGAAATGCAACATTTGCTTTCGTCAGAAAACATGACTTTAGACCACTCAGCAGCAGTCCAGCTCTTTTTTTCCTTAGCCCAGGTGAGACGCTTTTCGCGCTGTTTCTTGGTCAACAGTGGCTTGACACGAGGTATGCGGCAGTTGAAACCCATGTCTTTCAAGCGTCTCTTGGTGGTGGATCTTGAAGCCCTGACTCCAGCAGCTGTCCACTCCTTGTGAATCTCCCCCACATTTTTGAATGGGTTTTTTTTTCACAATCTTGACTAGGGCGCGGTGATCCCTATCGCTTGTACACTTTTTCTGACCACAGTTTTTCCTTCCCTTTGCCTCTCTATTAATGTGTTTGGACACAGAGCTCTGAGAACAGCCAGCCTCTTCTGCAATAACCTTTTGTGTCTTTCCCTCCTTGTGCAATGTGTCGATGGTCGCCTTTTGGACAGCTGTCAAATCTGAAGTCTTCCCCATGTTTGTGTAGGCTTCAGAACTGGACTGAGAGACCATTTAAAGCCCTTTGCAGGTGTTTTGAGTTAATCAGCTGATTATTTTGTGGCACCAGGTGTCTTCAAAATGTAACCCTTACACAATATTCTAATTTTGTGACACACGGAATTTTGGATTTTCATTTGTTGCCACTTCAAATCATCAAAATTAAATGAAATAAACATTTGAATGCATCAGTCTGTGTGCAATGAATAAATATAATGTACAAGTTACACCTTTTGAATGCAATTACTGAAATAAATCAAGTTTTTCAAAATATTCTAATTTACTGACTTTTACCTGTATATACCCATTGATTCTTGAATATCTATATTACAATCCTGTAAGCCTCTAACTGCGGGGTAGCTCTCAAACTCTAGATGGCATTCTGCCTTCTCCCTACAGTCCTCAGCCATTCGCTTCGCCCACGACTGCCTCATTTGAACTACAATCCCGACACTGTCTTTTAACGTTTAGAAACCTCATTAATCGTTGCTTGCGATACGGCTTTCAAAACATCTGGTCCTTATCTTTCATCAGCGAGAAAGAATCCTTCAAATAAAAAAGATACGTACTGTAGCAGTTTTGCACAGATCCATACAGCTATGGGTGCCTTCATCCAACAAAACTACACTTCCTGAGCTACGCTTACACACAGGTGTTCGGCGCATGCTAGATAGCTAATTAGCATAGGTGGTCACCTCTTGTCTTCTGTAAATAAGCGCATAACATGGAGATATGGCCGTGTGGGAACACTAACCCTATCAAGGTGTGTATCAATGTAACCTTTTGTTTTTAGAAAATGATTTCTCGCTCATATGAAAGATAAGGTCGTTATGCTTCCAAAACCGTACCACAAGCGATGCATGTTAATGTTCAGACGGGGATCTTAACAAAACTTCCCCTTACAGAAGACACCTTCGTCCAATGACTCTTGTTTAATGTAATGGAACTGAGAGTCATGATTATACTCAAAAGTAAGCACGTCGTCCTCTTACATGCCACTGTAAACTTTATATTCCGCCGTGTTTTGAATTAATATTTTTTGGAATTCCCTGTATCCTTGGGATACCATGCTGCCACAATGTAAATTATGCAAGCATTTTTTTAATCTGTAAATTGCTACATTACCCATAATGCTCATTGACTGGCGGTCCCAAATTACCATGGCAATTAAGCATCATTCTATGGTGAATGGCCTTCTATTTAGGGCAGCCCAGTAACATTTGTAAAAAACAATGATTTTACTGTGCCCGGTTGCACACAGACTTTTATGGTCACACAAGGTGCTGCCGATGGATTCAAAATGAGTAGCCTAACAATTAGACTATTTACATGGCCCCAGTTGCATTTGCAAACAAATAAACAATTAATAATAGTTGCACACATCTGTTTGGCCTCAAACCGTGGTCTAAACTATAATGTTGATATTATGGATGGTCAGTTCTTGCATCCATAGCTATGTCTATGAATTTGAGTGGTTACATTTCTCCAGGCCCATCCCTCAGCTTTTTACCAAAACAGAGGCGGGGCATATGCTTTGTTATTGTTTCAACTGTGGATTCTAGTTTTAAATAGTCTGCAATTAGTAAATGGCGAGTGTAATAAAGCGATATCAGATCTCGTGTTTTTAACTTCTGTGACACTTAATTCAAATGTTGTATGTACCTCTGTGGCCCAGTACAAGCTTCAGCTTCATGTATAATTTTCACAGGTGTGATCGACATTTAGCCTGTAACCATGTTTGGTATGACAATGACCATAAGATCTGGCAACACAGCACACACATATATGGGACAGGGTAATTTAAATGTGCATTCTGTTACCATCCAAAAATCAAACATATTTTTATTTCTCTAAAATAATCCCATCATCCCTCTTTCATAGGTAGGTCAAATCATTACATAAAATAGTTTTATTGCATAGCTGACAGGGCAGACAAAGCAGTTAGACAGAAAAGATCAATGAACACATCTTTATGAAAGACATCAGATCAGGTGACGCAATCACACCTGTAGACAAATTCAATCTTTTTAGCTTCACATAAGGCACTTTTAGTGACATATCTTTTCAGTGGAGCAGCGGTCAGTGTGAACAACATACAGTACATGAAGACTGATAGAAAGGAAATGGAAAAAATGCAGTGGCACTTTACAAATCCCCAGTGAAGAGAATATATTAATATTGGGGTTAAATGATTTGTACAGCACACCTAATATTACAGTATTCCATGAGAGATAAAATGATTGGCGACAGTAAAACCCAGCCCTTGGTTATTTGAAGGTTCATATTTGACAATGCAGAAAATGCTTTGACAATGACTATGAAGTTACTTTTAGCATGAAGTTAAGTTAACAGACACACAAAGCAAAGGAAAGTATGATTTCCAGTATCATGCCATCTCTGTGCCAGCCAGTGCTTACTAGTGGCAGAGAGATTTTTGTATATATTTTTTACAGACTCAACATGAGGTCACTTCCTGCAACACTTGTGATGTAGGTTCAGACCACCTTCAATGGGAGAGATGATTGATCCAGGAGATATTTGTAGGAAATAATCGCATGTCAATCTCTCTGGTGTCAGCAATCACCGACTCACCCAGAGATAGCGCGACAGTGGAACCCATGCTATTGGTTCCCTTAGAACAGCCAATCATCTACCAGAATCTAATAATAAAGACAACGTCTCTCCCTCCTCGACCCGATCACCTCTCCACAGCCCTAAGGTTTTATAAATTCCATGTTCCATTCACATTGTTAATTATATATATATATATATATATATATATATATATATATATATATATATATATATATATATATATTTTATTACCCATTCTTTTCATAATGTTGAACAAATGTTCAGAAAATATTTGGAAAAATTTGAATGTATCAAAACCCCTTCTCCCTCCCCACCCAGCTAATAATGTCCCACACTGCAACCCCCAAACTCCCCCCATCACATGAGAGACAGGCCTGAGATAGACCACTCCGAAAGGGGGGAATCAGTCAGAGTCTTCGTCGTCAAGGTATTCATCGGCATTGCTGTGTGTACGTGTGATATCTGTAATAGAACAAATAGGAAGGAAGAGCTTAGGCCAGTAACAGTGGTAGGATATTCAATTACATTTCATGGAATTAAAAAACATTTCCTCTATTTAGGGACTCATGAGGGAAAAAGTACAACTATGATCCAGTATGGACTGGACTGTACAGTTCTTTGTTGGGGGTTCCTCGTTTTGGCATCTTGCATTCTGAGTAGTGTTATTGAAATGCATGAAATGCCTTACTTAGCAAGTTAAATCTATAAATGAACATGGTGAAAAATAAGCACCAAAGCATATAAATGAACGTGACTAAATGAGAAATTATCATGAACAGTCAATCAACCTGATTGACTGTGTGACAATAAAGGCCTGTTTCCCAGATACAGATTAAGCCTGGTCATGGACTAAGAAACATGTGCAATAGAGATTCCCCATTGAAAGCGCTTTTGAGTCCCGGGACTAGGGCTTTATCAGTGTCCGGGAAACCGACCCAAAATGGCGTAAGGCTTCCACCTTCTGGCCTAAATGACTCACTGCCTCCTTGTTTCCTCTTGATGAGAGAGGCACACTGGGCATTGGTGGCCATCTCCAGAGCCAGCTTCTTCTCGTTGTTCTTAATATCCATCCTGGCATCTGAAACACAAATACAGAAATAAACACAAATATAGAAAATGAAAAACAACCAGACATGCTCATACCAGGGTTGTGGTCAATTCTAAATGGAAGTCAGTCAATTTGTGAACTGACCCCAACCCTGGCTCATACACACACAGAGATGGGAAACGAAACTGGGAAAGAGAGCAAAAATATATATATATGGAACTTGAAATGAAAAGTAGATGGACTTACTCTTATTCAGTAACATCTCCACTATGTCTGAGTATCCCTTCCAGGCGGCAGCATGCAGCGCAGTGTCTCCCAGTTTATTCTGCAGCGGAACAGAACAGCCCACATGTTAATCAAAGACCTTACCCATCACATCATAGCATAATCCTCATCATATAGAGATAGTTTCCAGGACACAGATTAAGCCTAGTCCTGGACTAAAATGCATGCTCAATAAAATAATCCCTTTTGAAAGACATTTTTTTTAGTTAATCTAGTCCTGGACTTAAGAGTCTAAATAGAGTCTTTAGACTTTAATACTGTATGCATCAATCGCATAAAAAAAAAAAAATCAGTCATAACAATTTGCCTAAAACCGCATTTTCCAAAATTGTAAACGGTTCTTCTCACCTGCTGGTTCAACTCAACGCTAGACTGCCCCAGCAAGATCTCCACCACATCTGTCACAAAAACACAACATAACACTGTCATTCATCTCACAACAGTGTGTGTGTGTATGTGTGTGCAGGCTGACATGCATTTGCTCTGTCATTCAAGAAAAAAAGCTGAGTGTGTGTGCGCGTCGGCGCATGTATGAGTGAGTGCATGCGTCTGTGCATTCTGTATTCGCATATCACGGAGTGAACGATGCATGTGTTGAGGTGTGTGTGTAGTAGATGATCTGTTACCTTTGTGTCCTCCGTGGCATCCCCAGTAGAGGGCAGTATTCCCAGCTTTGTCCAGTCCATTAATTCCCACTTTGTTCTCCAGACACTCCCTTAGCCAACTCAGATTCCCTGCAAATCGCAGACGCAAAAGTGTAAATACACACAAATAAACATCTGTATGCAAATGAAGCAAGCATCACACCATTCAAATTCATACAGGTTATAGAAGGTGTATAGCAAACAAACAACAATCAAAATGTAGAGTTTGTTATTGGACTATATAGTAGGTTTAGATTGTTGGTGGTGTGGTGCACAATATTTGCTAATTGGGAAGAGTGAGTGACGCAGCAGGCCTCTTTTGGTGACTCACCTCGTTTAGCTGCCTCGTGCATTGGGTTGTCAATGGACTCTGCCTGCTCGGCCACTGTGGGTTGAGGAAGTCGGACAGCAAAGAGTGATTTCAAGAGAGCAACATGCTCCTTTGAAAACCATAGTTAGGGCATTCATCTATTAAGGCAGGGGTGTACAACCCTGTTCCTGGAGAGCTACCTTCCTGTATGTTTTCGCTCCAACCCCAGTTGTAACTAACCTTGTTCAGCTTATCAACCAGCTAATTATTAGAATCAGGTGTGCTAGATTAGGGTTGGAGTGAACCTACAGGATGGTAGCTCTCCAGGAACAGGGTTGGAGACCCCGGTATTAAGGGGTGCCTACAATGCCTACAGAGAAAGGTTTTGGCAACATGATCAAACACAGAGAACCGGTTTTCTCCATCTAAAGACAAGTTGATGGAATAATGCATTTACTAACATGGATGGGCACCTCTATTGTGATACAACTTCAACCTTACTGTGCAACTAGCCATATGACAATCACATACAGTGTTATGGTTTGTCTACTCACCATAATTGCTTGGGATGAGGCCAGTTCTTCCCCTGCAGGTTCCCTTCCACCAATTGCTGTCACTCTAAGGATGACAGACAGGCAGTGAGAGCCAATGGCAATACAGAATGCTTGCATCCAGTATCTCTGAGGTGAGAGAAAAGACAAACGAGAAAGAGAAAAAGAGAATGGGATACAGGAAAGACAAGAGGAGGAAAAAGAAGTGGGGGATCGAGGAAAAGGTGAGGGGAAAAAAAACAGAGAGAGGGCCACAGACACAGAATAAATGAGTAAAAGAGAGAAAGGGAGAAAAGTGGACAGGCGGACAGAAAGGGCTGCTAACAGTAACTTACCGTATCAGAGATATACAAGATGTCTCCCTCTTCAAAGAAGAGCTCATCTGGCTGAAAAGCAAAAAAAAACAAATACCATTTTTAATTTGGATTGGTGTGAGGCGAAGTGAAGGGACTAGACAAACCATTAGGAAAATAAACACTAACCGTTCGGGGGTCAAAGGTGAACATGGCTCGGAAGACCTTGACCTGGCCTATGAGAGAACAGACAGAGGGAAACGGACATGAGTTTGAATCTATACAACTGTGCAGCGCATCACACAGAAAAAGATCCAGACAGGCTATCACACAAATGTTTCCACATTTCAGATTTTGTTCTATCAGATCCATTCACACAGTCAGCAGACATTGGGTCCTCGTCCACACACTCCAAGGCTACATGGCCTAAGGGCCCCTGAAGACACACTGTTCTAGCTTGTCTCAATCCCAGGGGTGGTATGTTACCAGAGTGGTGTTGAGAGAAAGCTAAACTAGTTCATAGGCACAGAGAAACCAGGGTTGTGTTCATTGGGCTCCCGAGTGGCGCAGTGGTCTAAGGCTCAGTGCTTGAGGCGTCACTACAGACCCCCTGGTTCGATTCCAGGCTGTATCACAACCGGCCGTGATTGGGAGTCCCATAGGGCGGTGCACAATTGGCCCAGCGTCTGGGCGTCGTCTGGGTTTGGCCGGTGTAGGCCGTCATTGTAAATAAGAATTTGTTCTTAACTGCATAACTGACTTGCCTAGTTAAAAAGGTAAAAAAATAAAATATAATAATAATTAGGCACAAAACTGAGTGTAACTGGGAGGGACTACCTCCAGGCCTTCTTGTCCAATAAGAAACATCAAATGAACATGACCCAGGCTTAAAGAAACACTGTTTATGCAGAAATGGGAATCAATTGGGGACTTGAAAACACAGGGGTATGCATGCTTCTATACATATACACCCTTATGTTATACTAGGGAAATTGTGTTGCCATAGCTAGGGCTAACAGTGAGGACTTGTGAAGAGCAGAATCAACAACCTCTGCATAATTAAAACACTTTGTGAGAAGGCGTTATAGTTCACAGTTAGCCATTATGTAAATGAAAGCTGAAAAGTACCAGTGGCCTGGCTTTGGCCCCAAGTGAGAGCAGGTCCGCCGGAGCTATGTCCCAGTTGAGACATGGGTGCTGGCCCACGTAGATGGAAACAGAAAAGTCTGAGCCTTTAGGGTAAAACACTGGGATAAATCCTGTATGGAAATGCACCAGAGATTTTCACTCTGTATACACCCTGACTGAGCCACACACTGTTCCAGTGAGAAGCTGCAGTTGAGTTCATAGACAAACCCTGCTCTATTCAGCTCTGTTCCCAGAGTGGTTCTACAGGCCCCATCCTGCCCCTGTGAAACTCTGGGGCCTGTGCTGACTAGCCCATCCACAGTACACTCAGCCTCACAGTCTGGGTGGGGGGGCTAAGCAGCTTTGCTCTGTATTTCAGGAATGGTTCATTCCTGGTTTAGGAAAAAACCCACAAAAGGTAGGTCTATATCAGAATGACAGTCTTCATGTTTGTAACAATCTCAAATTAAAAGGTGAAAAATTGGAAAAACTAAAAGCAACCCATTGGTGAGTGAGTTTTTAAAATGTAAAGGGATCAACTGCTCTGTGCATGTTACCACCATGGAAGCATAGCAGACCACTGGGTTTCCAGTGCCCCAGTATCTGTGCGTTAGAGATGTTGACGATGAGTATGATGTGTCTCCTCTAACGCCCAGGAAGCTCTGATTCAAACTCCTATTAGACAGCTCTGCAAGCGTTAGAATGTTAAAATACTTTCGTTGCTCACCAAATATGGAGTTGGAAGTTTACAACAGCTCAATACATTGGAGGTGCTGAAGAGCCATTTTTTCAGTTGCTTATATATATATATATTTATTTTTTTGACCTTTTTTGGAAGTACATACCGGCCGTAATGGGAGTAAATGAAGATAATTGCTCTGCGAAACTCCATATTTGGTGAGTAACGTAGGGTTTTCACTAACAGCGAATTCAGCAGGAGAAGTTCCACCCCCATTCATTTTCAATGAGGGCACGTGGAGAAATGTGCGGGGGAAGGTGAGCGGCGAGAACCCTGCTAGCGGAGCAGTAGAAAAAGTTGAGCTCTACTTTATGCAAATGTAAAGCGAAGTGTTGGTGCGAAGCGTTGTCAAGAGTAGGTGCCACCTCCGGTCAAAATCCACTGTAGCAAACGTATTTTCACATTATATATAATGCTTGCAGAGCTGTGTAATGGACCTTAGGCTTACGCGTGTTTAATGATGCATCTCTCCTACAATGGTCGAAGATGTAGCATGCGTTTCCCCAAACACCACGCAGAGAGAACTGATACGATGTATATAGCCGCAACCAAAATATGTTTACATTTTGAAAATGTAAACATATTTTATGGAAAAGAGCCCTGCACCATATGCTGCCTTGTTGATGTCATGACCAAGTGGCGCAGATTATTGTTCATTGACTACAGCTCGGCCTTCAACACCATAGTGTCCACAAAACTCATCACTAAGCTTAGGACCCTGGGACTAAACACCTCCCTCTGCAACTGGATCCTGGACTTCCTGACAGGCCGCCCCCAGGTGGTAATGGTAGGCAACAACATCTGTCACGCTGATCCTCAACATAGGGGCCCGTCAGGGGTTCGTGCTTAGTCCCCTCCTGTACTCCCTGTTCACCCACGACTGCGTGGTCAAGCACGACTCCAACACCATCATTAAGTTTGCTGACGACACAACAGTGGTAGGCCTGATCACCGACAACGATGAGACAGCCTATAGGGAGGAGGTCAGAGACCTGGCAGTGTGGTGCCAGGACAACAACCTCTCCCTCAACGTGAGCAAGACAAAGGAGCTGATCATGGACTACAGGAAAAGGAGGGCTGAACACGCCCCCATTCACATCGATGGGGCTGTAGTGGAGCGGGTCGAGAGCTTCAAATTCCTCGGTGTACACATCACCAACAAACTATAATGGTCCAAACACACCAAGACAGTCGTGAAGAGGGCACGACAACGTCTATTCCCCCTCGAGACTGAAAATATTTGGCATGGGTCCCCAGATCCTCAAAAAGTTATACAGCTGCACCATCGAGAGCATCCTGACCGGTTGCATCCCCGCCTGGTATGGCAACTGCTCGGCATCCGACCGTAAAGCGCTACAGAGGGTAGTGCGTACGGCCCAGTACATCACTGGGGCCAAGCTTCATGCCATCCAGGACCTCTATACTAGGCTGTGTCAGAGGGAGGCCCAACATTTTTTCAAAGACTCCAGTCATAGACTGTTCTCTCTGCTACCGCACGGCAAGCGGTGCCGGAGCGCCAAGTCTAGGTCGAAAAGGCTACTTAACAGCTTCTACCCCCAAGCCATAAGACTGCTGAACAATTAATGAAAATGGCTACCCGGACTACTTTCAAAAAAGAAAATTACACTGCTGCTACACGCTGTTTATTATCTATGCATAGTCCCTTTACCCTTACCTACATGTACATATTACCTCGACTAACTTGTACCCCTGCACATTGACTCGGTACCGGTACCCCCTGTATATAGGCTCATTTTTTATTTTATTGTGTTACTTTTTTTTTTTAAACTTTGGTTTATTTAGTAAATATTTTCTTAACTCTATTTTCTTAAAACTGCATTGTTGGTTAAGGGCTTGTAAGTAAGCATTTCACGGTAAGGGCTACACCTGTTGTATTCGGCGCATGTGACAAATAAAATTGTATTTGATTTGAGATGGGCGCTCCTCACTCACTGCTTTTGCCCGTTGACGTCACGGGCCATAGACCGGTGTCCCGCGGCTTAGCATAATCGAATACGCCCATTGGCAACTTTGTATTTGTAGTCAACTTTGTTCTGAAGTTATCGGCGGTCACAGAGAGACAGTTAAACCATATGGTTGTATGTTTAGCGAAGATCTTCTGTGTATAAGGTGACGTGGAAGGGCAAAAAGCTTCTAAAGACGAACGTTGCTGTTATACGACTGGTCTGAGGCAGGCGTTAGATTACGAGCGTTTTCAAGTGCAACTTTAATAAAGATGGTTTTGGGAAACAGCTCGATTTAGCTATGCTCCTACACAGGTTCTAACGATGAATTTAGCCTTACGATATATTTTGGGATACCGGGCGTTACATAGGAGACACGTCATGCTCATCGTCGACATCTCTAATGCCGCGTTCACGTACTAGTCAGAACTAGTACGGCAGGTAGCTTAGTAGTTAAGAGCGTTGTGCTAGTAACCGAAAGGTCGCTGGTTATAATCCCCGAGCCGACTAGGTGAAAAATCTGTCGATGTGCCCTTGAGCAAGGCACTTAAGCCTAATTGCTCCTGTAAGTCGTTCTGGATAAGAGCGTCTGCTAAATGAAACTAGGCAACTCAGTCTTGCTAACTGGTTGTAATTATACAGGTGCCGTGTTCAACCAGTTGTGGCATTTCACACATATACTGGGGGGCAGATTTCCAGTAGACAGAACCAATATGCAATATGTAGCTACCAATATAAAATGTATAACATTGGCTTAAGCAAAACAACTCCACACAACATTCTGGAAGCCTTTGGGATGGGACTGCAACCATTGCCTGACATACACTTCTGTGAAATGGGGAAGTCACATAAGCCATGATGACCTAGCCATGGGATCTACATCTAACTAGCTAACTTTGGATCTAGCTACTTCGTAAAGTTAGACAATAGCGGCCACATAACTACGCACAGAAGGACCACGGTGAGAAGAGGACAGAGACAACTGAAATCTCACTGAAATGTTCAATTATTCAAGGAGATCACTGGTCAAGCATTTGGCTAGCTAGTTCGCTCGCTAGGTGTGTTACACTTGCTTGATGCCGGACGGGAGAGGAAGTAGCTAGTTAGCTTAACGTTATCTAGCTAATTATCACGCAGTTAATCGAATACTTACCTGGTTTGGCTGGCTTGGGAGGCGGTTTGGACATTTTTGGACTTTAAAGAGTAGCTACGCCGTATCTTTTCTGAAAACGTTGCTTACTGTCCTAAAATAAGAGGTACTTTCTCACTTCCAATAAGGAAGTAGGCTACTGTCTGACATAACCTGCTAGGCGGAAAACTAGCAGTGCGCATGCCCACAGAGAAATGTCTACTATTTTGGTTAAATATTGGTCAAATATGTTCTAGTAGCTAGGTAAATATAATTGGATAGTGTTGTATTACAGCCTAGACACCAAGAAGCTTTAGCTTTTCCCAGCTAAATGCAAAAATATTATCAGCCCTGAAAAATGGCTACTAATGTCTTCGCTATTATCCTTATCAACGAGTAGAAATGGACTGATGAAAACAGGACTTTGCACCTAAAATAGCCCACTTCAAAAATTGGTTGATTTAGTACATTTTGCGTAATTAATGATCCTAAAGAATGTAGCGCATATAGCTAGCTAATGTTTTATTTTGAAATGTTAATTCATTATAATATTTCTCTGCACCCACTACAGATTTTGTCCCAGGACAGGGCAGGGGTCGTGCATCGTGGATCCCTTTAAATGGTGACGTATTTAGGAAGGACAACGAATCCGTTCGTCCTGCCGTGGAATAGCGGAACCACTATCAGGCAATGGACCGACTGTCATAAAAGTTCAGTAACATTAGCCCTGTTTTTATAATTTCTCGCAATTCTGCACGAGGTTTATTTTACCCGCATTTGTCAGCAATTCAACTGGACCATTTCACAACCTCTCAACTAGCTTCAGCCATGAGGACCCTTGTCGTTGGAATAGGAGGGTAAGTGTTACTGTACGTGCTATTATTTGAATCTGATCTGAAATTGTGTGAGACGAAACCTTGTTATTTCAGACTCATGACCCTTCAATCTAACCATTAAATCTGAAATGTACCTACATTCTTTTGGGCTTTTCTTTTGGGCATTGGGGTAGTTGACCGCCTTTTTTTGTCCATAATGGCAAACACAATTATAACTTCATTCAAATCAAATGAAATTTAATTTGTCACATACACGTGTTTAGCAGATGTTATAGCGGGTGTAGCGAAATGCTTGTGCTTCTAGCTCCGACAGTGCAGTAATATCTAACAATTTTACAACATATACCCAATACACACAAAACTAGGAAGGAATGGAATTTAAGAATATATACATATATGGACAAGCAATGACAGAGCGGCATGGACTAAGATACAGTAGAATATTATAGAATAGAATACAGTATATACATATAAGATGAGTAGTGCAAGATATGTAAACATTATTAAAGTGACTAGTGTTCCATTTCTTAAATTTAAATTGGTTAAAATTGTGACATTACTAAAAGCTTTTTTATTTTCATTCATGCAGTGTGTTATTTGTTTTCTTACTATTTTGAACCAACGTGGTAATTGTGCAATGGTTTGACTGTCCCATGTAAGGTTATGGAACTTTGAACCTAAGCTAATTAATGAAAACATTAATAAAATTCCCTTCACCTACTCTTGTACTTATGACACATAAATCTATTTCAAGAAACAGTAGGCCTAGTCCCTAACAGTAGGCCTAGTCCATTCATTACATTTCCAAATAATGCTGATTGATTTTGAGGACAAAATGTAATCAATGTCCACATGGTGTGACACAATGTAGTCCTAAAAACCGGAAATGAAACCTCTGGTCAAAATGAATGGGGTTTCTGGGATAAACGTTGAAAATAAGGTCTAGGTTAATGCCGCGTTCACTTCATCTCGGAAACTTCTAACTTGCTAACCTAGGCGGATCTCGAGTTTCCCGCTTGGCCGGTATCAGAATCAACCAATAGGAAGCTCTATGCAAATAATGTATGTTCATTTTAACATTGGAGGTCCCGAGTTTCTGACATAACGTGAACAAAGCATAACACAGGTTTTGGAGGGAGATAGTATTTACATTTTAGTCATTTAGCAGACGCTCTTATCCAGAGCGATTTAGTGAGTGTATACATTTTCATACTGACCCCCCGTGGGAATCGAACCCACAACCCTGGCGTTGCAAACCAACTGAGCTACACGGGACCTAGTATACGTTTTGAATTATGAAGCCTTTTTGCATTATGTGCTTATTTTGATGACATAAATGCTTCAAAAATCACACAAAGAGACGTTAGCTGATGAAGATTTTCTTATAGAACAAAACGTATAAGATCTTCTAAACCTGTGTTAACTGCAGACCTTAATTTCGGGGTTTATCCAAAAACCTCCAGAAAATGCATGAATCTCCCCATAGGCTTTGGCCAACGAGCCATAGCTGAGTTAGTCTCCATTAGTGCCTACAAAAAGACGCCATCACTATTGGTCTCTATTATGTGATTATTCTTTAAGTTTTATGAAGAACTACACGCAAAAGTTATATTGTCACCACAAACTGGACAGGGGTGAAATTTTTTTTACAAAAGAAAAGTACATTCCATACAAGGAAGATTAAAATTACCATTTAAAGAGCGACTGCGCCTAAAATCCAAAGTGTAAATAGGATCATTTTGGTCATAGTCAGTCTCGTCTAAAACGGAGTTTGCTACCTCAATGGATCTCAATGAGTAAATTAAGGTTGGGTTTGGAATACAATTAGGGCAACAAATCTTGCCCGCTTTTGCCAAGCTCCACGTGCAAATCGCACTTCGCTTCCCTTCATTGAATGGGCCTCCTTTGTTGTTTAATCGCCCCCAACCAGCGCGTTCAAAGGATCACGGCCGTTTGAAACTGAAAAGCCCTATTCGGATTGATCATGCAATGCATGCTTCCAGCAAGATGCACAGCCAACAACTATGGTTTGCATGCCCTGCCTAAGGACCCTATCATCATGCGGAATAGGTGGTTGGAGTTCGTTGGTACCCAGTGGTGGTGAGTATACCGGTAGCTAGACCATAGACTGCTGGTTATGTATCTGGTTATGTAGCTGACGTTAGCTAGCTAGCTAGCTAGCTAGCTGGCTAACGTTAGCCTACCTCAATACAACTCTGATTTGGCTTGGAAACACGATAACATTTAAAAAATAATGCAAATAATTAGTAGAAAAACATTTTGTCATGATTGTGATGTCGCCAGATTGACTTTAGATGCAGTTTAGTTTTAGATGTAAAATATTTTAATCCCAGAGAGAGTTCAGCTGCAGAAACAATGTCGATCATTGAGCTTTCTTGACTTCTTTTGAACTTGTGCAGTTCTGTTTATCACCATTTCTATAAATGACACAAAGTGTACTTTCTTCACATTAACAATGTCTAGGTCCTGCTGGTGATACTCAGGCTGCGGTGTAGGTCTACTGGTCTTCACTACCACCAGATCTTCAGAGATGCTCAATCTTTCTACCCTTTTGACAGCCTCCGCAAAGGAGGCTCTCAAATGCCCTGATTTAGGCAACTACAGTGTCTTTCACCCTAATCAGGCACTCCAAGGATTGCGCTTCATGTTCACCACCACAATTACAACATTTTGCTCCCTGGCCATTCTCTAACACTAAATGTGAAATCTCCTTCATAGTGATTTTTTACCACATCTCAGCTTTTCCTGTCTGTAGACACTTCTTACATGTCCAAAAATTTTACAGCAAGAACATTGTAGGGGCCGCTTACAAAAGCTCTGACAGGATAGTACACATGTCCCAGCTGCACTCGAGTAGGGAGAGACTCCACATGAAAATAAAAAACAGAACAGACTAACTCTTCACCCTTTCTGCCGTTAACCATAGTTCAGAAAGGAAACGGCCCGTAAAAATATTTAAACATTTATTAAAGAATGAATAATGTAAGTCTTGGCGATATAGGCTCTGCTCCTTCAGGGTAGCTCACTGCCCAAGCAAAGCGTCAATATATAAAAGAACATATAGACAGTGAGCGCGGTAAGATATAACAATCCCCCAACAGCAAAACAGAACCTAACGGGATGGTGGGCGTAAAAGAAGCAAACGCATATTAAGCGGCAGCAGGATGTGTGACCAGAACCGGTCAGCTAAAATGGACTGCCAAATAAGGCAGGTGTGATTGCTACTAGCATCTAATTGGCTGATGCGTCAGCTGAGGCAGGCACTCGGGTTCCCTTTTTGAACTGGCTTCACTTTATTTCAGAAAGGAAACACCACATAGAAATGTGTTTCACCATTTATTAAAGAATGAATAATGCAAGTGTTGGCGATTTTATAGGCTCTGCTCCTTCAGGGTAGCTCACTGCCCAAGAAAGTGTCAATATATAAAATGATCTACAAGCAGTGAGTGCGGTAAGCTATACCAATCCCCCAAAACAGCAGAACCATATGTCAGAGGATTATGTGTAACTACAGCAGAAAGCGTTGTTTAGATATGATCAAATAGACCAGCTAAAGTCATCCTAACATTACAAGACTGTATACTACAGTGCATTCGGAAAGTATTCAGACCCCTTCCCTTTTTCCACATTTTGTTACATTACAGCATTATTCAAAAATTGATTAAATAACTTGTTTTCCTCATCAATCTACACACAATACCCCATAATGACAAAGCGAAAACAGGTTTTTAGAAATTTTAGCACATTTATTAAAGATTAAAAAAAACACCTTATTTACATAAGTATTCAGACCCTTTGCTATGAGACTCGAAATTGAGTTCAGGTGCATCCTGTTTCCATTGATAATCCTTGAGATGTTTCTACAACTTGATTGGAGTCCACCTGTGGTTAATTCAATTGATTGGACATGATTTGGAAAGCCACACACCTGTCTATATAAGGTCCCACAGTTGACAGTGCATGTCAGAGCAAAAACCAAGCCATGAGGTCGAGGGAATTGTCCGTAGAGCTCTGAGACAGGATTGTGTCGAGGCACAGATCTGGGGAAGGGTACCAAAAAATGTCTGCAGCATTGAAGGTACCCAAGAACACAGTGGCCTCCATCATTCTTAAATGGAAGAAGGTTAGAACCACCAAGACTCTTCCTAGAGCTGGCCGCCTGGCCAAACTGAGCAATCGGGGGAGAAGGGCCTTGGTCAGGGAGGTGACCAAGAACCCGATGGTCCCTGACAGAGCTCCAGAGTTCCTCTGTGGAGATGGTAGAACCTTCCAGAAGGACAACCATCTCTGCAGCACTCCACCAATCAGGCCTTTATGGTAGAGTGGC